TTTTTCCTAATATCCAACCTAAACCTCCCCAACTGCAACTTGAGACCTTTACTCCTTGTTCTGTCATCAGGTACCACTGAGAACAGTCTAGATCCATCCTCTTTGGAACCCCCTTTCAGGTAGTTGAAAGCAGCTATCAAATCCCCCCTCATTCTTCTCTTCTGCAGACTAAACAATCACAGTTCCCTCAGCCTCTCCTCATAAGTCATGTGCTCCAGACCCCTAACCATTTTTGTTGCCCTCCGCTGGACTCTTTCCAATTTTTCCACATCCTTCTTGTAGTGTGGGGCCCAAAACTGGACACAGTACTCCAGATGAGGCCTCACCAATGTCGAATAGAGGGGAACGATCACGTCCCTCGATCTGCTGGCAATGCCCCTACTTATACAGCCCAGAATGCCGTTAGCCTTCTTGGCAACAAGGGCACACTGTTGACTCATATCCAGCTTCTCGTCCACTGTATCCCCTAGGTCCTTTTCTGCAGAACTGCTTCCTAGCCATTCGGTCCCTAGTCTGTAACAGTGCATGGGATTCTTCCGTCCTAAGTGCAGGACTCTGCACTTGTCCTTGTTAAACCTCATCAGGTTTCTTTTGGCCCAATCCTCTAATTTGTCTAGGTCCCTCTGTATCCTGTCCCTACCCTCCAGCATATCTACCACTCCTCCCAATTTAGTGTCGTCCGTCCCCCCGCTCCTGTACCTTATCTCCACAGGGCGGGGGGGGGGGGGGGGCGGGGACACGGACACAGCTTTAAACGAGCATGTTCCCTAATTGATCAGCAGCGTAACAATTTAACAACATTAACCGGGACAACTTTAAGTGAGGAGTTACTGTACTGCAATAGAAGTCATATCAGTTTCACTTAAGGACTGAGGGGAAACAAACGCCTATAAAAATAGCATTTAATATTCTTATTTAAGCATTTCATAATGTTCTTCCTGTAGTTTAGCAATACTATTAGCAAGATAATTTTCAAGTTCATTCACAAATAAAAAAAGTGGTGTCTTAATAAATGCCTTTAAGAGACTAAGTGACACTTGTATCAAAGGGGTAGCCGTGTTAGTCTGGATCTGTAAAAGCAGCAAAGAGTCCTGTGGCACCTTATAGACTAACAGACGTATTGGAGCATGAGCTTTTGTGGGTGAATACCCACTTTGTCGGATGCATGACACTTGACATGTCAAAAAAGTTACCTCCAGCATCATTTGCTTTCCAGCATTTTATTTTCTCGTTCTGTTACATTAAAAAAACCCTACCTTACTAAAATTTAAGTCCATTAAAATGTACATGCAACAGGTAACATTTAAAATTTTGCATAATTTTAGATTGATAGGCAATTAATGTAAGTTACACTATAGCTTTTAGCATCAGTTTTAGAAACTTTTAGACCAATAAAACATATAAATTTTACTTGTCCAATCTTCCACATAGGACCAACATTAACTTTATTCACACTGCATCTATTTCAAATATACTGATTTTTGCAGCGCCGATCTATAGACAGTCTCTCTGACTTTAGCCTAGTTTCACTGGACCCAAAATAACTAACTCCACCAAAACAGTCCCTGCCACCAATTACAGTAACTCTGATGCCAAGATTCACTAACTCAATTCATTTACTCATTACATGAGAAATCCAGTTCTAATTACCAGAGCAACGATTCAGAACCAGCAAAGATATTCAAAGGAGCCAGACGTTCATTAGCACAACAAATCATTCTGTTATCTTAATAAAAATATCCTGCAAATTATTCTCTCTCTTTTGGTTTGCTGGAACAAAGAAAGATTTTTTTTTTAAATGAAAAACACTTCGTCGTTTAGGAAAGATTCCCATTTGAGGATGATTTTATGGACTGGTTTCGTGAAGTGATAGAACAGGTAAATTAACGAGTTCTATTAATTTAATTCTGAAAGACTACATGGGTGAAATGTAACCCCCATATCAATGGAATATCAGTACATCCCTGGAGGTGAACTAAACTTCACAGAAATGGGCTCATAATGACCATCAGAAGAGGGTGGCATCCTTTCCCATGCTTTACTGAGGTAGCTAGAGCAAATGTAAGTTAGGGTGGCAATATGAAGACACTTGTTCTTCGCTTCCAACCAGATGGATTTATTATAATACTCAAGGTTAAAGATTAACACCAACTAATAACTTTATTTTGAATGTGAGAGAATAAAACAACTTTAGGAAGATTCATCCTAAAAAATCAGCATGGTGGGTTGAATTAGCAAATGTCCTTTATATGAAATAAAAACAACCAGGCTAAATTTCCTTCTCAGTCTAATGTTACTTATTTGCCAATATTGACTAGAAGGCAGTAGCTAGCAGTGAAAAAATACACAGATACCCAGTTGTGGAGGTGAGGGGGTCAGAGAAGCCAAGAAGAAACCAGATGAAGCTCTGATTACTGGTCTAATACTTTAGAGGAAGAATTGTAGTGGTCTCATGTGGCTCCTGGCCTAGAGAATCACCTTTATTTCTGAGAACATCATAGGTGTCTGCTTTAACACGGATATAATTTAAGATATAAATTGATCTTAAATTGGTTGCAAGTTCTTTGGGACAGGAACTGTGTCTGTACAGTGCACAGCATAACAGAGCCCCAATCTGATGGGTACACTGTAATGAAAATATTTAGCAGATTTCTCATTAAGTTCCACTATCAACACTTTTAGAGTCTTTGTGAATGGTTCAAACAATTATTTTTAACCAAATATATTCCCCTTGCTGAAACTTTCCAAGTCTAGAGATTCACCTGCAAGGAAAACCTATGCATAATAGTACCCTAGCAAAGTTAGCAGGCTTCTCTCTCTACCTAACAATTATATCACCATAACAGGCCAGACAGCCTATAGCAAATGCAACAGAAGCCATAAAAGTTCTGTCCTCCTGTTGGTCTGGTCATCCAGAAAAAAAATCTCCCTCGAGTAGTCCATAGCATCCTTGGCCAGAGAAACAATAGCTATGACAGGTAAACTGATGAAGTATAGCTTGCTTTAGAAACTCTGAAACTTCACCATCTTGCTTCCTCCCATTCAGAATTTTTTTTTTTTTTTAATTTAAACTGCCTAAGCTATCTGTTTGGCATTCTGCTCCTTAGTCATTATGAGAACATTGCTCTAAAGCCTTAAATAAAAGGTGGTTAAATCAAAAACATATGGTCTTGGAACATTCTTTCCGGAGTCTGTTCCCCAAATAGCTCTGGCCCAGAGTCTGAAGTACCTCTTTCTCGTGGAGGAAGTGAACAGAGATGGTAAGGGTGAAGTAACTATGTTTAAAAGTCTTACATTTTCTTCATCCTTTCTTTTTAATTTTCTGTTTAGGGAAGGGGATGGGGAGGAGGATGAAGGAAAGGAAGCAAAAACAACTTTCTCATAGCTTAACGTCTTAGTTAGGAGACAAATCCTAGAAACAAATAGCAATTATAAAAAAAAAAAAAAAAAAAGTTTGGCTGACCAAAACCCAGGCAGAGGGTGGGGAAATGTCTCTAATTCAGAAGTCCCATTGATTGCAGGGTGGAAGGATGCTTGAATTAGACCCACTTCTTTGCAGAATCAAAAAATTGTTTTGGGATACATCCAAAGCCCACTGGCAGGGAGAAAACAAACAAACAAAACCATCAATGGAAAGATTCCCAAAGACATCAATGGGCTCTGTATCAGGCCTTTTGTGAAGCCCAGCTCAGATAGAATCAGGCCTTTAAAACCATTAATGAAGTGCTTGTCTACCATGTTCTCCTGTCTTTGAGCCTTCACAAGGAAAAGCTGATCATATAACAGCCTTTGACAGCTAGGAAAAGTATTCATATGTGTAGAGCCCTGCGCACATATAAGTTTATATCCACAGAACCGGAGGGCTCTCCTGAGAACCGCAGCAGTGAAAGGAGAATGTGGGGCCACTGCTCCCAGGAGCACCCCCCTGCCTGCAGCCCTGCCCCCATCCCTTCCACGCAGCTGTCTGCATCTCCTATCTGGGGGCATGCATGCCGCTTGAACACAAGAGCGCGATCAAGGACAGCTGCCAGTGAGCCTGGTGCCCTCCCCAGTGGGCAGGGCTGGGGTGCTACAGCCATGCCAGAGGAACTGCTGGCGTGGGGCACTGGTGGTGGCCCCATGTTCTGCTCCTTTCACCACTGCGGTTCTTGGGAGAGCTCTGCGGCTCCGCGGATACCGATTTATATCCGCGGATATAAATTTGTATGCATGCAGGACTCTACATATATGGAGGTAGGGGGAGAGGGAGTTGATTTGCAGCTTCTTTAGAATAGCTCTTTAAGGGGTAGTTGTCTCCCTCAATGTGCAGTACACAATTCCTCAGTGTGGGTGAGTAACTGAACCCCATGTGTTGAGCACAAGACTTTTTTTTAAACTTTCTTGGGCTTTTTGAAGTATTTAAGAGTGCTTGTCTGCGTTCACCTGAATGCTGTAACAGACTAACACTAGAAAAGGTTAACAGGAAAAGGTTTTCGGCAGACAAAGAAACGTGCTTAAAACTAAATTGCAATCTAATATTTTTTGCTTTTGCTTTTATCGATGGCTGCTAATTACCTGTTCCAAATTGGCAACATGGTGTTGTTCATAACCTCTACATTCAAGGTTAATATGGTCCAGAAAAGCAGAAGAAAGAAAATAAACAGGAGAGCAGTAGCGGAACTACTAGTAGGATGCTTTGTTTATACTGAGCTACATGACAGCTCTGTGCAAGATCATCTGTACACTGAAAGGATACTACTGAGGACTGGCAAACAGTCTTTAGTTTGGTACAGGTGCCACCTATGTAGTAAACTTCAGCTAACAAAGAAAATCTAACTTTTCTATGTAATTGATTCCAACTGTTTATTCTCATTTGATTAAGTCATTCTAGCAACATTTAATTCTTTCCTGCCCCTTTCTCCATCCCTTTCTTTCAGCCCACTGGCATACTGGAAAAGTCTGTGCCTTACGTTTCTGTCAGTCCATAGGCTAGGTCCAGCATGTCCATCTCCTCATCAGTAATTGCATCTAATTTCTCAAATATGTGGTCTTCAAAGATTAAGTGGCAAGTGGAGCAGGCCAATGTTCCTTCACATGCACCTGCAAAATAGACAAAAGTTTACTAGCCATACTGAGTTTTATATTATAGCAGAGGTTCATGGGTTCAACTGCACCCACTGCCTCTCCCAACTCTGAGCAGCCAGGTCTGGATGCAAAGCAGGGGCTCTCTTGCTTTCGTACACCCACTGAATTGGGAGACTACATCTGCCACTGCATTATAGCAGAGAATCAGTAGAATCCCTTACTAAACAATGAACTACTTGTTAATAAAAGTCAACCACTGAGTAATGAGAAATGTTAAAGTGCAAAGATATGACATGCTATTTATTTCCAACAAATTCTTGTGTTAATCAGAAGTCTTATTAGGCAGCATAGAGAGCATTACTAGATACATCCACTTTTTCCTCAGACATCACAAGCCATATGAACTATGCACAAATATATTTACTGTAGTTTTATTCAATTTATGCATCCAGTGTGAAAAGAAGAAACTGAACTGCTAAGGCAGGGCTAAAGAATGAGAAGTACCTTATCACATGAATGTGAATGTTACTTTAACGACTTAAAAATATGATGTAATGCGTGTGACAGTTATATCTTATTTCAAATATATAAAGGTCTTGAAAAATTCACTCAGTACCCACCTGCCCAAAGAATAAGCCTAGAAACCAGAATGCTTCTAACACCAATATGGTCATGGCCCTCAAAGCAAAACCCATTTTGATAATTACCGTAAGTACTTCTGGTAATGTCTTTCCACACTGTATCAGTATCTCCTGGACTTGCCAAGAACTGGCCCCATCCATGGTACACCAGACAAAAATCCATGCTGTCAGATGCTACTATTTCAGGTCTGGATGGATTATCTGACTGTGGTGCTGTGAAGTCCAGCCAGTCTAGGAGCTGAATGAATATCTGGAGCAGGTCTGTCAGCCAAAACTGCTGGGAATGAGTAGGGAGCTACAAGGATGACTGTGGCTCTGTGTTGTTTAACTATGAATAGTGCCCTGGGAAGATTGTTGGAAAGGCATATAGGAGGTCTTGACTCCATTACAGAAGGAAAGTTTCCAATAACAATCCTCTGGATTCCTCCTACCCCTTCTGGAAGAAAGGTTCAGATTCTTGACATTCTCTTCAGTGCCAAACTGGTCTTTCAAAGGAATTCCATCCCTCCCCCCAATAATGGAATTAATCAGCTCTATGATGGTTCACAAGTGACCCTTTGTGACTGGCAACAGATTTTCTGCTCAGGAAGTCCACCAAATTGTTGATGACTCCCAAGAGACGACCCTTGGTGTAATCCTGTATCGGTGGCACCATGTTCTGAGCTTGATGACTTCCAGTCAGAGGGATGATGAGCAGGCTCCTGCTTGCTTGTTTATGTAGTGCATCACAAATGTGTAGTCTGTCAGGATCTACGCCAGGGAATTTCAAAGGATACTTGGGAATGCCATACACGCTACCCTGATACTTTGCGTTCCAGGACATTTTTGTGAAGTCCTATGTCTTCTGGGGGACCAGATCCCTTGCATCTGGATCAGGTGGGCTCCCCAACCTGTGTGATACATCCACAATTAATGTCCTTGTAAAGGAAGGGGCAGAGAACGGTACACCTCCTTGTATGTTTTTTGGGTTCTAGCTACCATCTCAGCTCTTCAATGACATGAGGTAGTACTAAGACCTTCCTATTCATCCAGTGTTTCTCCAAGGAGTAGACTTATCTGAGCCAGAGTTGAAGGAGCACCAGGTGGAGTCTGGCAAGTGATGTTACATACATAAATGCCGACATATAGCCTAACATCCCAAGGAAGTCTGTACCATCATGTTCTGGTTGATTTTAGCTCAAGTAATCGTAATTGCACTAGCAGGAATCTGTCCTCAGGCAGATACGTGCTTTCAGACCTGAACACTTGATCATAGCTGCTATGAGCTCTATTGTCTATGATGGGATAGGAGAAGATTTTTTGATAGTTCAGCAGCAGGGCTAGCTGGGCAAACAGAGAGAGAGCGCACGAGTGCATATTCAAGACTTGCCACTGTCTCCTGCTAGGATCTGCCTCTGCTCAGCCAACCATCCAGGAAAGAATATATAAGAATGCCCCTACTGCTCATGTGGGTCACCCCTACTTCTAAGAATTTTGTGAAGACTCAGAGCCATGGAGAGTTTACATGGCAGTACCTTGTACAGATATGATTTGGCCCCACTGTGAATATGAGGTACTTCCTCTGGCCCCACTGTGAATATGAGGTACTTTCTCTGATACCTCTCTCTGGTGGAGAGAGATGTGGAAATATGCATCCTGTAAGTCAACAGGAATGAACCAGTCTTGAGCCTGAAGAGAGGATTACCATCCTGAATCAGAAGAAGCATATGTATTTGTTCAGTCAACCCATGTCTTAGATATAGGACAAAGACCCTCTTTCTTCTTTGGGATAAGGAAATACCAGGAGTAGAAGTCTCTTCCCCTATATTCCTGAGGTACTTCCTCTATGGCACCTAGAGAAAGCAATGAGGAGATCACTTCTTTTTGTAATGAGCTTGTGAGAAGAGGATGGAAATGAATGGGGTAGCCCTGGATGAGGATATCCAACAGCCGTTTGTCAGTTGTGATAGTAGACCAAGTCTGGTGGAAGGAGGCGAGGTGGTGGCAAGTGCTAAAATGGCTTGCATGTGGCTCCCAACATTCCTACCAAACCTGTCACCTCCTTTGTGTCCAAAGGAGCACAAAAAAAATGGGGTCTCCTGAAATACTGGGGCCTTTTCCTCTCAGGTACATGTGCTGTAAACACAGAGAGTAGGACTGTGTCCTCTGCTAAAATTGGGTTTTATTTGGCTTTTACAGGAACCCAGTGTGTAGATCCCCAAGGAAGGTAGAATGGACTGAGAGACTTTTAGTGAATGGAGCACTTAAACTGTTCTGCTTCTAAAGAGCTCCATCCCTTTTTCCACTTGTTTACATGTGCCCAACAGAGTGGCCAGGGCCTGTTGCAGTCCCTTCACTGGCTCAAGTATGCAGTACACAGGGACAACGGCAGGTGACAAGATCCCTTGTTGATCAGCAGGGCAATCCTGCCAGGGTCAAAGAACTCAGTATGCCAACAACTTGTGGGACTTAACCTCTAATCACCATTGTTTCAGTATTTATTATTATTATTATTTGTATGAGACATGAAGAAGCCATAGCTGGCTATGATTTTTTTTTTTTTAAAAGAGAGGGAGTGGGTGTTCCAGAGACAGTGGCATGGATGGAGAAGGAGGGGAAAGAGGTGTGTGGTTAGGAATGATGGCATGATGGAGAGGAGATGGTGGCAGGGACAGTTGTGGGAGATGGAGAAGATGGACATGGTGGGATGGCCAACATTGGGGCAAACATTACCAAAGGAAGGAGGTGGCCCAGGCCCTCTGATTTAGAACTGGAGATCCTGGTATACCTGGAAGTGATCAGCTGTTGGTACTGGGACCAATAGCACTGCCTCCGTTTCATCTAGTGACAACACTGATGGAGATTTCTGCTGTCACTCTGTTGCCTGCTCCTGGAGGCTGACATTAGGCTTTGGTGTGGATGGGCTGGCTAACTATGCTGCGGGAAAGCAAGATCTGCTCCAGAACTTACATGATGATAGTTTGCAATGAGGCCAATATGGCCAAGGTGGTATGCTGTAAGGATACTGGGTCAGGTTGCAGATGGCTGATCCAGTGCCACTTATATCTCACTTGAGGTGGGGCCTGAAATGGGGGTCCCTGGAAACCTGCCTGGGGATGCTCTCCAAAAGGTAGAGAAAAGGGATCCCTATCCAATGTGGTAGAATTGGTGAGAAGTATCCTTCCTCAAACAGCGTGGTTGGAGAGTGATACAGCCTCCGTGCCAGCTGCAGCTTCTGGTGCAGAGGATGCGTCTGTCTCCTCTACAGCAACGTTATGATTTGATGAACTGATCTACAACTTATGAATTGTGGTTGATAAGATGAAATTATGCAGTGGTTACCATGAAAATTGCTGCATCATATATGACCTCTGTCTTTGTGTATCCACCACTGCTGAAAAACATTTAAGCATGTAACTCCCAGGCCTGGGAGAATAGCCAATTGTTAAGGACCTATCAGTGTCTGGGGCAAACAGTTCTCTCTAACTTCCCCCAACTTACCTACAAGGAGGGGATAGTGGAAAGAATGGAAATTCCCTGAGAGGGACAAAGAGATGGGGGTGACAAAGCAGGAGGTTATAAACAGACTCAGGAGGGAAGACTGGGACCCACAGAGGAAGTTTTGGGAAGGGAACAGACCAGCCAAGGAAAGAAAAGGAAAGAAGGTTGGAGAAAGGCTCTATGTTTCAGAACCCAAGTCAGGCACTACCCCTGAAGGACCCTGGACAGCCCCAGATGACTGACCCCAGCCCCCAAAATACTCTGAAGCTATGACAATACTGAGGAGTAGGGTCCAGGGATTTATTGGATTTATTATTTTTGTACAGATCTCTGTATTTCTCATGCAATTAAAGAAAGAACAGTGTTGTAGAATCCTGTGCAAAGTGTTAGCATGTTTCATGTGTTACATTATTCATATGCCCCTTGAAGAAGTAAACTGTGGACTCATACCACCATATGCTAGCGTTCTGTGAAAGGGTGTGTTTAAGCTATAGGAAGAGTCTGGGAGTCAGCACGGACTCTAGGGGCGGGGAAGCTGTAGCAAGTGCTTGCAACTCTCAGGAGGGAAAAGTGTCAAACAATCTGCACCCTGAAAGCATGCCTGGAAGCCTCAAGCACTGTCCCCATCTTGGTCCCTGTTCAGACTCCAGAGGCTTAAAACACCCAACGATTCAGTTGCTGGATCCCTCACAGCACTCTGGTGAGGAGCCAAAGGGAGGCACTTGCCCGGACCTGTAACAGATGCATCTCAGGCCTTTGATTGGCACAGTCACCAATATCAGTACCCAGGTTGGCACCAGGTCTTCTTCCCTGCATGGTGCATGTTTAGACAGGAAGCCCTGGAGGATGTGTCTTGATGAGTAATGCTTAGAGTCCTCCTTGCAGGACTGTCCT